TCTCTCAGCCCCCAGTAACCACAGATCCACTTCCCGTCCCTGTGGATTTGCCTGTTCAGGACACTTCACTCAAATAGGATCCTACAGTATATGAACCCATGCAGTTTTGAGCACAAATTACAGGAACATACTGAAGTTGGCTCATTCAGATATGAGAATGTATTTCTCTTTTTCATCCTAATGTTGGAAAAAAACCCAAGTTAGTTCAGTGTGGTGCACACTCAGCTCCAAGGACGGTGAGGCATCCGCTCCTCTTGTTTCCAGGGAACGAATGTATTAGCCCTGCAGGGCAGGTGTCCACTCCCGGTTCCATGGGGTATGGCCAGAGCGGCAGAGCCACATCGAAGGAGGGATGGGGGGAAAGGGGCCAAAACCACCTCACAACCCCGCTTCATCCAGGGAGTAGAGTCTGTTGAGAGAAGGAACAACAAGCAGTTGGTCCAATGAGAAATCCTTTCCCATCCCTGAAGCCAAATGGTGGGGCCAGGGACCTGGAGAATCCTGGCAAAGATTGGGGTTCCTGCAGGAGGATGAATGAGCAGCTCCTCCCCATTGGAGGGAGGCGGTGGAGTTAGGGGTGTGGCAACCAGAGATCCCTGCTTTGTGTCTATAGATGTATGAAGGCAGGAGGCATCTGGGACAGGTGGGTTCCCTGTGGTGTAGTGTTCTCAGAGGACACATCTTGAGCCACTAGGTCTTAGTAAAGTGGGGGTGCTTCAATTTCTGGGAATGTGTTGGGCAACGAGGGACTTGAGGGCACAGAGGGGCAGAGGCAAAGGACATTGGGGTTGAGAGGTCAGGGTGAGGCTGATCATCACTCAGGAAGATACTCAGGCCGGCTGTGCAGAGACCAACAAAGAGCAGAAGCCCCAGCACAGGGTTGCTCCAGGCTGAGCCCCCACCTGCTGGCCCTGCCCCACAAAATACCTGGACCCCACTGCTGACCCTGCTACCTCACCCCCCAAGCAGAAAGCCAGGATGTTGGCAGAGGCGGGCAGGGGTTGGGGGGATCTAGAAAGGACCAGAAGCTATTTCTTGTTTCTCCCTGTGGGGTTCAGCCCTTTTCACACCCACAACCTACGAAATAAGAATCTTGCTGTGAAAAGTCAGAACAGGAACATGGTGGACATCTTCCTAGAACTTTGCTGTTTGGCACCTGAAGGCTTGTTGGAAAACACAGTCCCAGGCCCCACCTCAGATCTGCCAGGTCAGGCTCTGCATGCTCAGCAGGATGCCCAGGAGGGCACAGGCTCATCTGAGAAGTGCTGTTCAGACCCTGCTACTGACCCCACCCCAAGCCCCCTGACCTGTCCACATCAGCAGTTCTTACTCAGGAGGTTCTGTTCCACAAGGGTCACTGGGAGATGTCTGGGTACATCTGTAGTTGTCATGACTGAGAGTGCTCCTGGCACCAAGTGGGTGGAGCCAGGGATGCTGCTTACCTGTCCCCCCCAGTGGGTGTCACACAGAGAACAATATGACCCCCAAATGTCCACAGTTTTCCTTTAAGATAAATGTATTCAATTTTGTGTATTTTGAGAAACCCAATTCTGGGAGATAAACTTTGAGCAAGTGCAAAGACTCTGGGGCAGGTTAATGAGGAAACAGGTCCAGAGAGCCAAATGACTTTTGGGAAAGCTCCCAGCCCCTGGCTCCCACCATAGGGTCTGCTCCCACCCTCCCTGTTTCTTCAGTAACAGCAGCCCAAACCATGGGTGGGCCTCCTGCAATGATGCCCATGTGAGCGTGTTTCTTCTGGCTAATAATAAGTCAGAAAATTGGCCTCCTGGGTTCCAGATGCTTTCAGGCACACAGCCCTATAAGTTTTCTCTGCCTTGACCTATTCCCTGATACAGCTGAGCTGTGTCACTGGGTCAGGGAATAAACTCCTGAGATGAAATTCCATTCAGGAGGCGGGATGCTGAATTTACATTCCTGGAGGTCACACTTGAGCTAGACTGGGGTCCTCCCCTCCCCTTACCTCCAATTTGTATTGGGTGTTAAATAAGAGTCTTAGAAAATTCATCTTTGGTTCACAGGAGGGCTGGTGGGTTTTTATTTTTATTCTTTCTAATGACTCTCCAGCACATCAGAGGTTCCCAGGGTTTCAAGCATCCTGATTGGGTCTCCATGGAGACAGAACCTGTCTCTGGCCCAGCTCCACCAGCCCAGCCTGGAGCTACAAGCTGAGAACCAGGGAACAGGGGTGGTTCTGCTCCTCACCTAACCCTGACACCCTGCTCCTGTCTGGGGGTGGGCAGGTGGCTGCCTGTAACAGTCATGACAATAGCCATTTACTGAGCACTAAGAATGTCCCAGGTGCTATGCTAAGCCTTACCTATTAGTTCACCAAATCCACTCCAAAAACTTCATCCTATTCACTCTTTAGTCTCACTTGGCAAACAAAAAAACTAAAGCTTGGCCACCGAAAGTGTGGGAAAGATGGTGTGGGATGGTGGAAAGTGTGTGGGCTCCTGGTTCGGGCTGGCTTGTTCCAAATCCTAGCATCCTCTCTGTGTGACCTTGCAAAGTGACTTGGGCCTCAGTTTGCCTCTCTGTAATATGGGTATAAGAACAGCACTTACCTCTTAATGTTTGCGATGAGGAATGGGCAGGGACCATGGTGAACTCACCCAGGGAGCAAAGTTTAAGGGGGCACCCAAAAACTTTGTCATCAAGATAAAGATGCAATATTTTTTAAAAATTGAAATTAGTGCCCCCAAAATATATAATGAATAAAATGTCAACATTTTAAATAGCCAGAATCAGTATTACTGAGTTCTCCTTTGGCTCAGCATGGCATCATTACTGATCCTGTCTTTATTTTAAAATAAAGAAAAGAAGTTAAGCCCTGGCCAGTTTGGCTCAGTGGTTAGAGCATCGGCCTGCGGTCTGGAGAGACCCGGGTTCGGTTCCCGCTAAGGGCACGTACTTCGGTTGCAGTATGTCCCCGGCCCTGGTTGGTCGTGCGGGTGTGAGCCACTCGATGTGTCCCTTCACGTCGATGTTTCTCTCTCTCTCTCCCTCCCACTCTATCTGTACAAAAAATGGAAAAATATCCTCGGGTGAGGATAAAAAGAAAAAAAAGAAAAGAAAAGAAGTTAAAATTTAAATTCAGAATTGGTGGACTGCCTCTCAGTCGCTCAGTGTGGCATTTTCCCTTCTACAGTCTCCTTGCTGTTCCTCAAGCCTGTCGGAATGCTTCCTGCCTCAGAGCTTTTGCACTTAGCTCACAGGTCACACTCCGTTATCAGCCTTCCCTGAATTTACCTCCTAAAGCCTTTCCTCCATTCATCTAGCTTTTTTATTTTATTTTAATTTTTAAAAATTCCCACCCGGGGATACTTCTTTTCTATTTATCTTCAGACAGAGTGGGAGAGAGAGAGAGAGAGAAAAAAAAAAAACATCAACGTGAGAGAGACACATCAACTGGTTGCCTCTCACATGACCCTGACCAGGGCCGGGTACTGAACTGAAACCGAGGTATGTGCCCTTGGCCCAAATCAAACCCATGACCCCCAGGCCGAAGCTCTAACCGCTGAGCCAAACCAGCCAGGGCCACTCATCTAGCTTTTTCCTTCATTGTATTTATCATAGTCTAAAAGTATCTTGTTTATTTATTTGTAACCACCGCAGGGGTTTGTTGTGTGGATTGAATGAGTTTGTGCATGTCAGCCCTGGCTGGTTTGGCTCAGCGGTTAGAGCGTCGGCTTGCGGTCCTGAATGAGTTTGTGCATGTCAGGAACTTAGCACAGAGCCTGGCGCCTGGAAAGAGCTATGTGCTTTTCCAGCAACATGTAAGTATACAGCATATTAAAATTAAATTACATTAAATGCTTATAAATATTATGGAGGGAAATGGAGGCCTGATAAAGGAGGCAATGGGGGATGAACAATTTTAGATAGGATGGACAGAGAAAGCTGGGGGATTGAAGGAGTAAGCCATGCACCATTTGGGGGAAGGATATTCCAGGCAGAGGGCTCAGCTTGTACAAAGTTTCTGGGGCAGGACGGTGCCTGATGTGTTGGAGGAAAGGCCAGGAAGTCCATGTGGCTGGAGTACAGTGAGCAAGGGGGAGATAAGAAGGAGGTGAGGGCAGGGAAGGGTGAGGTGGAGGGCAGGTCATGTAGGACCTTGGGGGCTGCACAGAGGACTCAGCTTTAATTTGGAGAGTTTTAAGCAGGGTGACATGATGTCCATAGCATTCTTGGCCCAAATGCATCAATATCTCTTGAAATACTTAAACACTGTGTGCAGAGAGCAAGTGTAACAAAAGTGTTACTTTCAACTATTGATGTAACACGATTCCTATTTCTACTCAGTAAGTTATAAACTTAAAGCGCTGAGCACAGTGCCTGAACAAAGTGCTTATTTCCCTGGCCGGTTTAGCTCGGCGGTACAGCGTGTGGGTTCACAGACTAATGAGTCGCAGGTTTGATTCCCGCCAAGGGACGTACCACGGTTGCAGTTTGTCCCTCTCACATAGATGTTTTTCTCTCTCTCCCTTTCTCTCCCTCCCTCCCACTCTAACTGAAGATAAATAGAAAAAACATATAAAAAATAAAAAGTATGATGATGATTATTATTGATGAGTGGTATTCTTAAAAGTGCTAAAAGCAACCCAGTAAATACCAGGCTCTACTTTTAGTGATTTTCCTGTTGTTATAAGTTGAAGGAGCCAGTGACGCCTGGACGTCAGGCCTGTCCTGCTCAAAGCTCCGCCATCACCCACCCAGAAGGCAAGGTTTGCGGGCCCGTTGGTCTCAGTTTCCCTGCCTGGACTGGGCGCGGGGACACGGATGTAGAATGAGGGATGAGGAGTGCAGGATGCGCGCGAGAGGAGGGAGGCGGGAGGCGGGAGGCTGGAGGCGGGAGGGCTATGTGCGAGCTGGCCGCCAGGGGCCGCTGCGGAGCCGCCCTTTTGTGGTCCTGATGCTGGAGCGAACGGGCGCGGAGGAGGGAGGAGGGCGCGGGGACCGGGCGGGAGGGAGGCGGGAGGCGGCGTCCGTCGTTCTAGCTGCGAGTCCGCCCGCCGCCCGCCGCCACCGGCTCGGTCCCGCGCCCGCCGCCCGCCTTCTCCCGTCATGGCCCGCCTCACGGAGAGCGAGGCGCGCCGGCAGCAGCAGCAGCTCCTGCAGCCACGGCCCTCGCCGGTGGGCAGCAGCGGGCCCGAGCCCCCCGGGGGGCAGCCCGACGGCATGAAGGACCTGGACGCCATCAAGCTCTTCGTGGGCCAGATCCCGCGTAACCTGGACGAGAAGGACCTCAAGCCGCTATTTGAGCAGTTCGGCCGAATCTATGAGCTCACGGTGCTCAAAGACCCCTACACGGGCATGCACAAAGGTGGGAGCCCCGGCCCCCTCCCTCCCCTCGCCGCTCCTCTCCACCCCACCTTCCGGCATCTTCTCTTCCTCAACCCTCCTCTCCTAACCTCCTCCCTCTACTTGCCTCTGCCACGGCATCATTTCTCGCCCCCCCCTTCCACCCACCCTCTCCTCCCCCCTCTGGGGGTGCAGCTGACAGATCCGATCTGGCCCCCTCCCCTCCTCCGCCCCCTCTCCCTCCCTCTCCACCTTCCGGCATCCTCTCTCTCTCTCTCTCCCTTTCTCTACTCTCCCATCTCCCTTTACCTCCCATTCTCCACTCCCCCAGCATCTCTCTCTCTCTCTCTCTTTCTCTCTCTCTCTCTTTCTCTCCTTTCCCTCCCATTCCCCCAGACTCCTACCCCTTCCACCCTCCCTCACCCACTCTTTCCTGCCCCTTTGCTGGTGGAGCTGCCTGAACACCACCACCCCTCCCTGCTCCCCCATTCATTCGGCCTCCCTAGGCCCCCGTCGGGGAACTTTGCGCCTCTGGACTCCATTGCTTTGGTCATTTTCACAAAGCCAGGCCGGTGGGGCAGGTCCAGCTGGCCTCCGGGGACACACGGATGCCCAGGACCCCAGGCTAATCGGTAACTACAAAGAAAGCAGGAGGGGGGTTGGGGGGCACAGGGAGCTGAGCCAGGCTGAGGGGGGAGCACCAGCCTTGGGTGGCTCAAATGCTATCGTTCGCCCTCCCCTCTGCCCACCCTCTCTGTTTGGATCAGCATCCCCCCTCCATTTATCTGCCCTCCCCCTCCTTGTCTCCACCTTTGGCTCAAGTTAAAACTGGCCGATCCTGGTAGCAATGTGTTGAGGTTTGAGGCCAATGATGATGAGCCTGGGCTGTCCATCTGGCAGAGCCCAGATCCTGGGTGGACAGGGGAGGCGTGGGCGGCCTGCAAAACCTTTGGGGAGGCAGGGTGGGTGGCGAGGCTTGCCTCCCTCCCTCCCACCTGATTCTCTCTCTGATGGCATGCTGGGAGCAGGTGCCCAGGGACTGTGGCCCAAGCCCTGGGCTCTGATCATGAGCACAGTCTGAATTGGGGTTGCTTTGACAGCATTCCTGTTGGCTGTTGGGGACTGAGGGGTGGAGATGGCAAAGGCTTTGCACTAGATACCCATGGCAAGACCCTGGAAGGGCCTTAGGGGTGGACCAGGGCCCATGACCTATTTCAGACCCATTTATCCCCATCCCCCCCTCAATAATGAAGGCATGGTAATCATTAATGCATATTTGTTGAATGAATGAATAAATGAATGAATGAATGAATGAATGAATGAATGAGAATCTGGTAGGATGGAGCCCAGGCTTGTCACTTCAGCTAGACCTTCAGCTGGTACCCTAGGGAGGAAAGAAACACCTCCCACCCTTAACCTTTTTTCATATTCTACCATAACACACACACACACACACACACACACGGGCCTGGAAAATCTAACTCTCCATGTGGCCTAGGAGGGCAGAGGGCTCAGTCTTGCCCATGCATCCAGCTCAGGGATCCACGGCTGATGGAGGGCTCCCATTTCTAGAAAGATTGTGATGGGAGTCGGGGGGTATCCATGTCGCCTTCCAAATTCAGATTGGAAGGCTGCTGGTGAGCTTGGGACAGGGAAACAAATGGGTTGTAGAGGTGCCCCCTTTCTCATTTCCTCTAGAAATTCTCCCCCCAAGTGAGAAAAAATGAAGTGGAGGGCTGCAGCTGAGTGTTCACCTGGGCCAGAGCCTCAATTTCCCCACTGTCAGCAAAGCAGGGCCCCATGATTGTGGGGCTATTTTTTCTGGCTGGAGAATGTTGGGGTTGTGGGGTGGGGGGTCTTTCCCATTTCTCACCTTTCCTTGGAGGCTTAAAATTAGGAAGTAGGGTGTCATGACACGCAATCCTCATTCTTCTTTTCATAGGGCTCCTGGTCCAGTCTGAGCCCTGGATACAGGGCCTATGGGTAACAAGAGGGTGGGGGCTTTCTCTCTGTCTGCCCTCACCCAATATCCTCAGGTCAAGAAAACATCCTTCTCCTGGTCCCATCTATCCTGGGCCTGGAGGGCCCTCACCTGTGGGAGGCAAGATGGAGGTGGGGGTGTCTTGAGGGCCAGCAGCTGGGATGGAGGCCTGTGTGACCTCTGGCCAGTGACTTCCCCTCTCTGGGCTTCAGGAAAAGGAAAGTAGAATGATGAATGGGAAGTGGAGGGGAGAGGGCCATCCAGGTACATCCTAGACAACACTTATCTGCTGTAATTTCTGGGGAGCCAACTAAACAGGGTGCCTGCTATTGGTGCTGGAGAAGAGTAGCAGGGGTGGAGGCGGGGTCTGGGCACCAGGGGTGGAGAGAAACCCATCCCCCCAGAGCCTTATGGAGCCCTGGATACTGGGAGAATCCTAGGAGGCTGGGCACCGGGGCAGCTGGAAGGACCAGAATGAGGTGAAGTAGAAACACCCATTGTGGGCACTGTGCACCCCCTCCAGCATTGTCGTTATCCTCATGACCATCTCATCCTTAATTTTCACATTCAGGGGCCTGTTTGATCTCTCACCAAAGGGGTTGCCATTGAGGGGTTCTTGTGAGCATCACCGCATTTCATATAAAAGGGAAACTGAGGCTCACAGGGCCAACTACTGGGTCCCAAGGACCAATCAAAATTGCCCTCACAATTGTCACCCACCTGTCTCCCTGGAAGACCAGGAGAAGCAGAAGGATATGTGTGTGATAAAGGGGTGACAGGTTCCTCCAAGATGAGAATGAGGTTTCCCAAAAATGGTTTGGGGGAGGTGGCTGTGACATCTGACAGTCACAGCTAATGGTGGGGCAGGGCGCTCGAAGTCTAAGGGCCTGTGCAGTGGAGGTCTTGCTTGGACTGAGAGAAAGGCAGGGGGCTCAGAGGGTCCCCTGGGCTCTGGGGATTGAATGGGGGGGAGAGGATGATAAGTGAGGGAGCCTCAGAAAGCGGGCAAGCCCATGGGTGCTGGTTTGTTTTTTTAAAGAGGTGGAGACAGAGAGAGGGAGAGAAAAAGAGAGGGAGAGGCAGAGAAAGCCTCCCCCCCAGACACAGGGAGAGGCAGAGAGAGGGTGGGAGTCAGGGAGAGAGATGGAGAATGGGGAGCAGGAGGTCACAAGGCTGCTTCCTACCCCCCACCCCCAGATCTGTGCCTCATCCAGGGGAAGGGGATCTTCCTGTGCCCCAGCCCAGCCAGGAGTTCAGGCCAGGAACTGAGGGCTGGGACAGAGCGACCAGTGGCCAGTGTCCAGACATCACCCCCTTCCAGTCCTCTGCTGGGGGACAGGTGCCCCCCAGGATCCTGCTCTGAGGGGGCTGGGTGCATGGAGGAGCCCTGAGGTGCCCCTCTTCTCTGATCAGGGCTGAATATTAATGCCCATACCGGCGATAGGGTTTGCTGGCCGCTGCTGTGTGGCCCCCCATTTATGGTAATCGCATATGCATTTGCATGTTAATGACAATATTTATCTTAAAGTGGAGGTTGTGAGGGGGGCCAGTGCAGTGGGGGGGGGCATGAGGGGCTGTGGTTTCCATGGGAGCACCAGCTGCTCCTCTTGGTGGCAGGAGGGGAGGCTGGAGCACACTGAGCTCAGAGGCGTGAGATTCCGAGTGTGACGTGCCAGCCCCAGGGAGACAACGGGCTGGGCCGGCTGGCAGGCACTGCCTGGGGTGGGGGACTGAGGGAGGAGTCCTCTCCCTGAGACATCGGAGGGGACAGTGGCTGGGAGCCAATGGGGCTGGCTATGTGGCTTTGAGGCAGGCATACCACTCTGTGCCTCAGTTTCCCCAGCTGCCTATTCTTCATTGATTTAACAGGCTTTTTTGAGGCCCCTGGAGCCTTACAAGTGACTGACATCTTTTCTGTCCTCCTTCAGGCAGAAAGCATTGGTTGAGTACCTACTGTGTGCCCATATTTGAGCAGAGCTGGAATTTCATGCACACAGCAATCTCTATGAGAGTAAGCAATATGTGACTCCATCTACCATATGACCAACATTTATTGAGCACTTACTGTGTACCAGGCCCTGGTCTAGACCCGGGATACAGTGTTGGACAAGACAGATACCCCCCTCCCCCCTCAGGCCCCTCCTAAGTTCAGAAGCAGTCTGGTGGGGGAATACAGTGAGAAACCAGGAGGTAACAAGGTGTTGATGTCAGGGCTGTGATGGCAGAAACACACACTGGCAGGGACAACCTACAGGAGGTTCTGCCTTTGCATGTGTGGAGGGCAAGAGGGCTTCCTGGAGAAGGTGGTCAGTGTGGGAGAGCAGTTAAAAACTTGGTGTTAAGACAAGTCTGATTTCTCTGGGTCTTGCCGGCTATATGGACTTGGGTAGGATTTTGTCTCTCCAAGCCCCAGTGTTCTTATCTATAGAATTGAGAGGCCAGAGGAGCCTCCTATCTCAGAGGGGGTTGGGGGAGGTGAGGATGGGGATGGCAGTTGTTTTTGGCACAGAATTCATGCTTGGTCAGCGGGAGTTGGGAGTAGTATGTGACTAAGCTGAGACCTGAAGGGTGAGAAGGATCTGTTGATGAGGGAAGGTATTCCTGGTGGAGAGAAAAGCATGTGCAAAGGCCCAGAGGAGTGCTAATCCTAGAGCTTCAGGTGGGGGCAGGATGGAGCTTTTCCCCGGGTGGGAAAGGAGCAAAGGGTCTTGGGAGCCCCAGAGTCCCCTTCTGACATGGGGCTTATTAGACAGGTCTCTTCTGAGAAATTCTGGCATTGGATTTGGACCCAGAAGCTATCTTTGAAATAGGCTTGTGTGTCTCTCTTTCACTCCTGTTATTGGCAAATGGGAACCTGGCCATAAGGAATACTCAGTAGGGCCACATTCATTTATTCATTCAGTCAGTCGACACTTCTTGAAAGCCTTTTGCAGACTTTCTTTATACTGAGAAAGATAGGTCTAAGGGTCCTCTGATGGATAGAAGCAGACAATGGCTCCTATAGCCATAGTCTGAGGGAGGGGTGAAGGGCTGAGAGAACT